GAGGGTTGCGGGTGGGAGGGACATTATGGGGGGGAAGCCATTGTAATCCATAAGCTGTACTTTGGAAATTTATATTCATTAAATAAAAGTTTAAAAAAATCAAAAAAAAAAAAAAAAAAAGGAAACCTGTTGGAGTGAAATGACAAGTAGAGTCACAGACAGTGAAAGGGAGAGACAGAGAGAACGATCTTCCATCTGCTGGTTCACTCCCCAAATGGTGGTGATGGCCGGAGCTGGGCTCATCTGAAGCCAGGAGCCAGGAGCTTCCTCCAGGTCTCCTACATGGGTGCAAGGACCCAAGGACTTGGGCCATCTTCCACTGCCTTCCCAGGCCATCAGCAGAGAACTGGGTTGGAAGAGGAGCAGCCAGGACTAGACCCATATGGGTTGCCAGCGCCGCAGGTGGAGGATTAACCTCCTGCGCCACAGTGCTGGCCCCACTACTGTACTTTTAATTTATAATCACCAATAAATATTCGTTATTGAGCAAGTCAGTTTGAGTCATGGTTTCAGAAACTCACAATAGAAAGCTACCTTGGGGGGGGGGCAGCACTGTGGTGTAGCGGTAAAGATGCTGCCTGCAGTGCTGGCATCCCATGTGGGCACCAGTTCAAGTCCCAGCTATTCATATTCCCATCCAGTTCCCTGCTAAGGCCTGAGAAAGCAGTGGAAGATGGCTCAAGTCTTTAGGTCCCTGAACTTCCTGGGAGACCCAGAGGTCTCCTGGCTCCTCGCTTTAGATTGGCCCAGCTCTGGCCATTGTGGCTATTGGGGAGTGAACCAACAGATGGAGGACCTTTCTCTCTCTCTCTCTCTCTCTCTCTCTCTCTCTCTCTCTGTAACTCTACCTCTCAAATAAATAAAATCTTTAAAAAAAGAAAGAAAGCAACCTAATCTGATTCTGTTAAGGCAAAGCAGGAATCACACTTTTGGGTAACTTATCCATTTCCCTTGGGTTATAAACTCTTTGGGTTTGAAGATAGAGGTTTTTTAGCTTTATAATCTCATCATCTAACAAACCACTTGGCATAAAGTCTGTGCTAAATACGTGATTAATAATAATAGATAACTAAACTAATAAGTAACTAAATAAAGCAAGCTAACTTGGATTATTCAGGCCAGAGCATATCTCTTTTTCAAGTCATTTGTGTGTGTGTGTGTGTGTGCGTGTGTGTATTTAATATTGGACTTGACTTTCCCTAAAGTTACATGTCCAAAACAAACCATTAACCATTTCCTATCCCAATTTAATTTATTCATAATTGCATTAAAATGTATGCTCATTACAAAAGGTTAATGATATATAAAGCATAAGAAGAAAGTAAAAATAAATATGAATACTGCCACTCAGGCATACACTGTTAAAAGTCTTATTGCAAAGTTTAAACAACGAGTTTTGTGTTGCCTTCTTTTTGTCTCCTTGAACCATCCCTTTATTGTCTCTTCTAGGCAATATAAGCAATATAAATATGCCATACACCTGTGTCTTCACGGAGTCAACAATTAAATTGCTTTATTTTCAGAATAGGTGAACCTTTAAGGTAGGCACACTATGTGCTAAGTACTTACTATGCCAGATTCCTTCACATAAATGAGAGAATACCTAGGAGGTGAATTATCTCATTTACGTCTGTTTCAAAAGCCTTTGAGACTGTATACCTGCTTTATAATGATGGAAAGTAATGTGCAAGGTTTAGTAGTAGTGAATATCTCCAAAGAGGAATTTTGCCTTTTTACCTAGAAAACTATTTTGTGAAAGTAAGAGTAACAGAAACAAAAACAAAAACCGCTCTTGCTAATTTCACAATAGCATTCATTACATTATTAAACAAAAATAAAGCCCCATAAAACTTCAAGATTCATAATAATTATAGATTAGCGCCTGGAACTTCTGGTTGTTTCTTAAGTGAATCTTTGTTTCCAATAGGACATAAGCTGCAAAGAAACTATCAGGAGAATGATGCACTGGACAGAAAGGCCACACAAAGTTACTAATTGCTAGTCTGTAAGGTAGGGTTACTTCTAATCCTTCAGGCAGCCTTCCATTAGTCCCAAGCCCTAAGAGTTACAACAACAATTTAAAACTAGGGATAAGGACACTTGAAAGCAGTAATGGTTTCTCGAAACAATTGTTTTCAAATGGCATGAAGGACAAATGGCAGACAATTTTAACCCAATTGACCCTAAAATTGTCTTCAAAAGTAAGTTTATGTCTCCGAACTGGAAAAATGCCAGTATCTACCCTTGATGGAACAGGTTACTGTCAATTCCAAAATGGGACTTAAGTATTTAGTCTGAAATCTACATGGCTTTGACCACTTTTCTTGTTCAAGTGGTTTCTTTCGGCTTAATGCTAAAATAG